TCACACCCAGGAACCATCACACCCAGGAACCATCACACCCAGGAACCGTCACACCCAGGAACCATCACAGCCAGGAACCGTCACACCCAGGAACCATCACACCCAGGAACCATCACACCCAGGAACCATCACACCCAGGAACCATCACAGCCAGGAACCGTCACACCCAGGAACCATCACATCTGCTCTCTTCACACCCAGGAACCATCACATCTGCTCTCTTCACACCCAGGAACCATCACACCCAGGAACCATCACACCCAGGAACCATCACAGCCAGGGAACCGTCACAGCCAGGAACCGTCACAGCCAGGTACCCGTCACACCCAGGAACCATCACACCCAGGAACCATCACATCTGCTCTCTTCACACCCAGGAACCATCACACCCATCACCTCCAGGAACCATCACCTCCAGGAACCATCACACCCAGGAACCATCACCTCCACTCTCTTCACATCCAGGAACCATCAAACTAGGTTTTCGATAAAGGAATGAATTACCCTGAGACTATTTGTGGGAAAGGAGTAGTGGGGAAAGCCTGGCAGTGAAGCATAGGGATGGTGACTTCCACATGAGCAGAGACCCACATTGTCCACACATGGCCCTCAGTGTGCTCAACGACCTAAAGTCCAGGGAATTCTTCATATAAGGTCATGTAGCTGTTCTCCAGACCTCCTATTAGCTGCACCACTCTCCATGTCTCTCTCTGGTTCCTGTGCCGGACAAGCCTCTTCCCCTTGTTTCCTATCAGGCACACCTGATTAGTCCCTCAACGTTCAGCTCTCCATTACTTCCCTAAGCAGCATCACCTGCACCTCGCCTTCGGCCCGTCCTATCTTCACTCTGTCACCCTGGGGCTGGCACATCGGTCTATGTTGTACTTAAAGGCCCGATGTTTCAAACTATTCACTGAAATGTCTGCCCCTTCTCCAAGGACCTGAGTGTGCGCATCCTGACACAAGAGCGAGGCACCCCAGGCCCAGCTCTGTGCCAGATGCAGGGTAAAGGGTCTGTGTTTGGGCAACTGAATGGAATTGCATTGAATTCAAATTTTTGCAGTCTTGTGTGTGAAATCTTAAATGACTGAGGTTCAGAGAACTGAGTTTTATAGTTTTATTTACAGTTTTCTAGAATTCCATTTTCTGGCATTTTGTCTCTCCAAGAATTAGGACCCCAGCAGGTGTGATCTGACCCCAAGGGAAAGGCAGAGATAGAAATGGGAGTGAGTGAAGGTCAGGAAAGAGGGTGGCACCAGAGAAGGTGCTGGGCTCGCCCCCACACAAGCACTGACATATACACTGTGGGGAGAACCTGAAGTCCAGGGAATTCTTCATATAAGGTCATGTGACTGTTCTCCAGACCTCCTATTAGCTGCACCACTCTCCATGTCTCTCTGGTTCCTGTGCCGGACAGGTGCTCCAGAGAGACAGGTGTGTGCTGGGTGAACAGCTGCTGAACCACAAACGAGACAACAGTTGAATGGAGAAGTGTGGGAGCCCACACCCTCTGGGAACTGTGAGAACTCCCGAATGGAGGTGTCCGTGGGCATCCTGTTTACCTTCACCTCCCCTTCAACAAAACCAGCAGGAGCTCGGCACCTGAAAGATCACCACAGCACACTCAGCCACGGCACACTCAGCCACGGCACACTCAGCCAGGGCACACTCAGCCAGGGCACACTCAGGCACGGCACACTCAGGCACGGCACACTCAGCCACGGCACACTCAGCCATAGCACACTCAGTCATAACACACTCAGCCAGGGCACACTCAGGCACAGCAAACTCAGCCACAGCACACTCAGCCAGGGCACACTCAGCCATGGCACACTCAGGCATGGGACACTCAGTCATAGCACACTCAGCCATGGCACACTCAGCCATAGCACACTCAGTCATAACACACTCAGCCAGGGCACACTCAGCCATAGCACACTCAGCCAGAACACACTCAGCCACAGCACACTCAGCCAGGGCACACTCAGCCATAGCACACTCAGCCACGGCACACTCAGGCACGGCACACTCAGCCATAGCACACTCAGGCAGAACACACTCAGTCATAACACACTCAGCCACGACACACTCAGCCATAGCACACTCAGCCACGGCACACTCAGCCATAGCACACTCAGGCACAGCACACTCAGCCACGGCACACTCAGCCATGGCACACTCAGCCATAGCACACTCAGGCACAGCACACTCAGGCATAGCACACTCAGCCACAGCACACTCAGCCATGGCACACTCAGGCACAGCACATACTCAGGGGATAGGACAGTGTCTGGTCAGGCCAGGACAGTGTCTGTGGGCACAGCCCCTGGTCAGGGCAGGACAGTGTCTGTGGGCATAGCCCCTGGTCAGGGAGCGGGACAGGGTCTGTGGGCACAGCCCCTGGTCTGGGCAGGACAGTGTCTGTGGGCATAGCCTCTGGTCAGGGAGCGGGGCAGTGTCTGTGGGCACAGCTCCTGGTCAGGGAGTGGAGAAGTGTCTGTGGGCACAGCCCTCTGGTCAGAGAGTGGGGAAGTGTCTGTGGGCGCAGCCCCTGGTCAGGGAGTGGGGAAGTGTCTGTGGGCACAGCCCCTGGTCAGGGAGCGGGGCAGTGTCTGTGGGCACAGCCTCTGCGCCCAGGGTGCTGGCAGGAGCTGTGGCCAGAGCTGGCCGCTTGCATGGGCAGCCCCACCTGGGACATGCTGGTGGCATTGCTCTACTCCTTGGCATGATTTTGTCCGTGGCTTGCTTCCAGTCTGTTCCTTTCCTGTTTTGGGCTTTTTTGCTGACATCAAGCTCTACTAATAATTAGGTGCTTCAGAAGCTCGGGAGGAGGCCAGGAAGCTGGGGCAGGATGTGGGTGTGGAGGCAGCTGGGAGCACAGTGGCCTTTAAACCTGGAAGAATCTCTCTAGTGCCCTCTTGGGGCCACTTCTGAGAACTGCGGTGGAAGCCGCTAAATCATGAGCTCCCTTTTCTTTACTTCCAGCTTAGGGAGAAGACCAATCTAACTTGGCATAAAGTCTGAGCTGGAGATCTTTTCTGAATAAAACAATGGTTTTAAAATTTTCAAGAGTTTATGTAGCAGTGACAGGGCCCGAGCCGCGGCCAGGAAACTAAATTTCTCCCAGGAAACTGAAGTTCCTGATGGGTAAGATTCAGCAAATAGTTCAGTTCTTGTTTTAGCCAATGTCTGGATAAAATCAGTTTCACAGTGAAGATAATTCTGGTGTTTGCCCTTAAGAAGAACTCAACGTCCATTTTCTCCGGGCCAGCCAGGCCCTTGTCTGCCATCCCTCGCCCTCCCCCCAGCACGTACTGCCTCTTCTCCAGGCTGCGCGCTCCTTACCTCTAACCCACTGTGACTGCTGGCAAGTCTGGGTGCCGGTTTGGCTCCGGGTGTATAGTGCCCAGGAGTTTCCCCTGCAAAAGGCCGACGGCCCACAGAAGTGTGAACACAGATGGTCAAACCCAACAATGTCACTTCTAGGAATATATCTTCCTGAGAAACACACTAGTGTTACATTCCAGTTGAATACTGGCACTCTTATAGTGTTTTTAATAGCAAAATATTGGCAATAATATGACTGCCTCTCAACAAGAGAATCCTATATAATAAAAGCATATTATGCAAATTGTCCCCTCGACCAGAGTTCTTCCAGTAGTTCGGCCGGCTGGAGGAAGGGAGGGAGGCCCCGGCTGGCAGCTGGCAGCTGTGAGGGACGTACCAGTGCACAAATTCCTTGCACTCGGCCTCTAGTAAAAAATAAATTATGGTACAATACAATGAAATACATGGTAGCCAAAAAAAGAGAGTGATGTGGAAAATCTACAAGATATATTGTTATGTAAAGAAAGTGCATAAGCCCTAGCTGGTTTGCTCAGTGGATAGAGCATTGGGCTGCAGACCAAAAGATCCCAGGTTCGATTCCAGCCAAGGGCATGTACCTCGGTTGCAGGCTCCTCCCGGCCGGGCCCAGGTCGGGCTCGTATAGGAGGCAACCAATCGATGTGTTTCTCTGGCATCGATACTTCTCTGTCTTTCCCTCTCCCTTCCACTGTCTCCAAAAATCAATGGAAAAACATCCTTGAGTGAGGATTTTTTTAAAAGTGCACACAGTATGCTAGCATAGATGTGTGTGTGTGTGTGTGTGTGCGTGTGTGTAATGTATGCAATTGAATATTCCTAGAAGAGTACATAAGCAACCAATAATATTGGAGCCTTAGAGGAGGGGAACTGGGGGGCTTTGGACAGAAATAAGAGGGAGACTTAGTAAGTTTTAATTTTAAACCTATGTATTTTCAATAAGTGAATTTACTTTTTCAGACATATATAACGAAAAGTATGGTCTCTGCCACGTGGAGGCTGACTGGAAGCTGGAAGGGCAGCGTCCGTGTGAACCAGGAGCAGAAGGTGTAGGTAGGTTAGCAAATTTCATGCATTTCTCTGTGTTTGTTTCTTTTGTTATTCCAGGGCTTTCAGTAAAGTACATATGATAACCTCAGTGTTTTTGAGTTAAAATTTTCCAAGTATTTCCTTTATTTTTATGTATAAAAAGTTAGAAAGTTTATACTTAAGGTGACCCAGAGCAGGAGCTATAGATGATTCTTTAGAGATCTTACAACTTGTTTCCCTTCCTCGTCCCACTGAATTGGATCAGGCAGGTTGGCTTCAATAGGACACATAGAGCTGCACCTCTCCCCACCATGACTGCCGGCAAGTCTGGGTGCCGGCTTGTCTCTGGGTGTATGGCGCCCAGGAGTTTCTCCTGCAAAAGGCCCACGGCCAATTTTTTAATGAAAAATTTGGAACTCAATTGCAAGAATATCTAGTCAAATCCAGGACTCCTCTGAGCTGCTTTTCTTGTTTTTGGAGAGGGAAAGATGGGATTCCTCTGAGTCTTTTGGGTTTAATCAGTAGCCCATCTTTAGATATGAGAGGGCCAGGGCATTTTACTTCAGGTAAGCAAAATTGAAGCTTATCTTTTGAGACCTTATGTCCTTTTATGGCTAGCTGGTGCAATAAGTATGTTGCATCTTCTTGGGAGTCTAATAGGTCCTAGAGCATAAAAATAAAGCTTCTACATATTGGATTAGAGCAGAATATCTGAAAAATTCAACACCATTCAAATCAGTTTTTAGTATTGAAGACAATAGGTGGGGCTCTCTGTATATCCCTGGGGCATTACAGTCCAAGTAAACTTGTAATCCTCCCAAGTGAAAGCAAAGAAGTCTCTCTCTCTCTCTCTCTCTCTCTCTCTCTCTCTCTCTCTCTCTCAAATGTGTTAAAGGCACGACAGCACGACATAAATCCATCGCTGAGACAGTTCACAGGCGTGGCTGAAATGGGCTTAGGAAACAAGTTATAGAAGCAAAGGAAGTCTGGGAATAACTATGAGGAGGCTAATGGTAAGGTGCCTGGTGGCGGGCAGGGGAGGAAGGGAAGGGCATAGGCATGCTCCCAGGAGGGAGGCACACGGGTCCTCCTTCCCAAGGGTTTAAAGGGTGGAGATTGTAGGGGAGGACCCAGGGGAAGACCTCAATAGGTTTTGCTGTTTCTCTAGGCCTAGAGCTGTAATACAACTGAGGCCCAGATGTTATCTCTAGGGAGGAAAGGTCAGGGTCCTACCACAGGACCAGTGAGTGGTGTGCTAGGGGAGGTCAGGCCACTCACCCTACAGTTGTCCTTTGCTGGGCACCTGCGGCTTTCTGCCTGGTGACTGCTGTACCCGGCCATCGTCCTTGCTCTGCTCATGTCTGTCTAACTGCACGACCACAATTGGTTTCAAGAAAATCTTGCCTTATCAGGTGAATTGGGGCAAATTTGCTTAGCAAAACTATGCATTGCCCCATAGCATTCCCTAGTGGGAAGGGGACAGGTTCTTATTAAAAAAAACAATCGTTGGTTGATTAGACATCCCTACCATTTGCAGAAGCTTTCCTCTGAGGGAGGAGGCAGCTAAGTTGGGTTCAGAACAGAAAACGTAGTCCCAGTATCTACAAGCGCCTTAGTAAGTTCTCCTTCTTATGGTAACTTTAATTTCTCCTAAATTACCAGTGAGGAGCACAAACACCTCGCAGAGTTCTTGGAGCAACCATATGCTTTCTTCTCCGTCTCTTCCCTTCCTAAGTCCCAGTTCAGCTTTCTGTGATCCTTCTTAAGGCGACCTGACTGTCTACAATAAAAAAAGATTCCTCTGCACGTCTCCCAGCAAACCTTACTTAGTAATCCATTGCTTTTGCTTCCAGAAACCAGTAGGTATGTTAATTGGAACAGGTCAGAATAGCCAGGTTCACATGTTCTAACCGTTAAATTAAACTCCTTTATGAACCCATCAGAGTCCTGGAGAAAATAGGAGAGATGTGTAGGTAGATTTCTTAATTCTATTCCAGTCCAAGGAATATATGTAATCACTGGGTCCCCTCTGCCTGGGACTGGCTTTTCCCTGAAGGGAGCTTCTAGAATTCCTAGATTATTCTTGTCTACATTTTTAAAAATATATTTTTACTGATTTCAGAGAGGAAGGGAGAGGAAGAGAGAGATAGAAACATCAATGATGAGAGGGAATCATTGATCGGCTGCCTCCTGCACACCCCCATCTGGGGATCGAGCCTGCAACCGGGCAATGTATCTTTGACCGGACTCAACTAGGGACCCTCAGTCTGCAGGCTGACAATCTATCCACTGAGCCAAACCACCTAGGGCTCCTTGTCTACATTTTTATTCCTATTTTCCCTTAGATCAGTAGAGAGTGGTAGTGGAGGAGATACAGAGGATATAGAAGGGAAAGAAAGAAGGGCAGGGGAGGGCAACCCCAAACAAGGAAGCTCAGAGAGCAAAGGGTATAGTAGAGGAGCTGTAGAAGGGGAGGAAATGTTAGGGCAGAAATAGAATATTTCAGACTTGGTACGGTTATGGGAAATAGTAATCATGCTCTATTAACCGTAAGTGCCTTGTTCTGGTTAAAGAAAGGACATTCTGACCTGGCAGGGAGTTGCAGCACACCCCTGGGACCTGGGAGTCAACCTTGGAATGTGGTCCATTCTCACTCAAGAACTGCCTAAAATCATGGAAAGATTAACAACCTTGTTGCCCAAACAATGGAGTCCCACCCCAGCCTCCTACTTCCCCAGGCCTGTCATTCCTACTTCCCCATGTAATCCTTGTCCTACCCTATACACGCAGCTGGCTTGTGGGGGGTGCAGAGCAGATTTTTGTGGATGTGCTGCTGCTCTCTCATGCTGCCGGCA